CAAACGGACTCAAATCTTCGAGTGATGGTTTATTGCGCCGGTGATTCAGGTCTCACACAATACACCAAGTCGGATATCGCATTTCCACATCAAGTGGAGCTCAAAGTCAATCTCGATGAAGTCAAAGCTAATCTTAGAGGCCTGAAAAATAGGCCGGGCACCACACAACCTGCAGATGTGACCAACTGGATCCGTAAAAAGCCAAATTATCCTAATAATATTGTCATGACTTACGCATTGACGCAAAAGGTTGAGCTTGTTCCCTTTCTACTCGATAGAGCATCTGTTAGACCGATTGACTAACTCCTGTTTGCAAAGAAATTCTTCGCGCTTGCCAACCTCGTGAAGCAGCATCCGACTGATGATCTTGTCTCGCAGTTGAAGACACGGAAACTCATCTCGAAGGAGCAAGTCTTGCGCGAAAGTAAGAACCCCTCCTATTCCCTTGGGTTAGACTATGCTAATTTCGATCCTCAGTGCAAAATCGCGCAAATGACTCGGACATTGTCGCGACATCAAGTGTCATGTCACTTAAATGCCCTCTATCTACCCTCCGCATCCAGGTGCCCTGCCGCTCCATTGTTTGCACACACAACCAATGCTTTGATGCGTCTTCATTCCTTGAATTGCAAAAACAAGCACCAACTTGGACCTGCCCTGTGTGTTCCAAATCGACTAGCTTTGAGTCTCTCCAAGTTGACCAGTAAGTCTAAACCCCCTTCCTCGGCATATCTGTTTCTTTTCCTAACTGGTCGTATAGGTACGTTGATGACATCCTTCAGTCAACGTCACCAGATACCGACCAAGTCATCGTTGAACCCGACGGCGTATGGTCAAGCCCCACTGATTCCGACGCGACGAAATTGGGAGGGATGACTCCCGCGTCAGATGACGATGACGACTTGATCGAGATCAGCGAACCAGGGATGCCCGTTGTAAAACAGGAACCGGGACCCACGACCGTCGCCCTGGAGCGAACACCTGCACAGTCACAGTCGCGAGAGGCATCCACCCCGTCCTCTGCGATGCGCATGTCCAGCAAAAAACGACCTATTGCTCAGGTCATCGACCTTACTGAAAGCGGTGATGAAGATGACATGTCCCCTCTTCCACCTCCTAAAAGGCCAGCTACAAGTCTGCCATCCCGGGCTTTTTCTCGTCAGGATTACCATGTCCCGCCCGCCAGCAGCCCTCTGAATGGCGGGTCGTACCCACCATGAATTTCGATTCTTATTCAAGTCAATCTGACGACCAAAGCCATGATAGTTTCTCTTTCTGATGCATATTTCCATGGAGTTTCTGGCGGGGTAGGGGGGGGAGTCTTCAAGATATCACAAGTGGCTACGTATCTAGGAGGGATTGATTGTATCATTCTAGTTTTGACCGGTCAATTAGCCTGGAAATATATTCGACCATCACTTTTATTCTTATTTACAAATAACACAATATATGTTTCTCAACTATTTTCTCGTATAGATCAAAAGGCCAATATCAGGTGGATTCCGGCCTGGGGTTAGCTCAGACTCCCCAACACCCCCGACTCCCCCCCCCCCAAAATCCCCATTTTCCAGTTCCCATCAACACGCCCTCATTCTGTCAGCCAGATCCCTTATTCATTCGCCTCTTCCTTAGATCCTGCCACCTTTGACTCCGTAATGTCATTCGATTCAACTTCCCCGTCAAATACCGATCCAAATGCCCGCGTCTTCAGCTCCTCATGCTTCGACTTCCTACTCATAGAATTGGTGCCAATGGCCGAGCGTATGGCAAAGGAACTTGCGACGGAGGGACAGGAAGCTGAAGATGAAGAGGTTAGAGAGACGATATTCTTTCGTCTAGAGTCTCTGGGCTATCGTGTTGGTCAAGGCCTTGCGGAGCGGTAAGCATAAACATCTCCTTTTGCAGCCCCTTTGCTTTTCTCTTGCAGTCCTACAGCGCGCTAAACCGTGTCGATCTCTATAGCTTCGCCCGAGATCGCCCTCGATTTACCGATAATCTCGATGTGATCAAGTTTCTCTGCAAGGATCTGTGGACGGTCCTATTCAAGAAACAGGTGGATAATTTGAAAACGAACCATCGGGTATGTGCAATACAGAAACTGCTGTGTTGGGGAGATGCGCCATAAACAGCACTTGCACAGAGATGTCCAAACTAATATCAATAAATAGGGAGTCTACGTTTTGACAGACAGCGCGTTCCGGCCATTTGGTAGGATGAGCATGGCGGTGCGGACTGAAGCAATATCCATGGCGCAGGCAGTAAGCATCCCCTTTGCAATTAATGAGGATGTCTCGGCTTATGGATTGACCTAGTACCTCTGGTTTCCTTGCGGTATCATCCGGGGCGCGTTAGCGAATTTGGGTATCAACACGACCGTGCAGGCCGAGACCTCGGATCTACCAGGTGCAACTTTCCAGATCAAAACTCTCCAGCCTCGGCCTTGAACATGAAAATGGTTGCGCCTGGGCCTGGGCTAGCCTTTTTACTCAACCAATTTACGCCTACTCTTATGACTTATGACAATTCCATCAAGTCGATTGGCTACGTGAGACAGAATACCGAAAACACGCAAAAATGAACAGTGGAATCTGAACCCTTGAATTTGTAGGTTGGTTACTATATCTGTGTGTCAAACCTACCCATCTGATTTCGGGCCGTACACTACTCGTGTCTGCTCATTGTTCATAAACTCATGGTCTCACATTTAAAGCCTATCTTTCCGGGAGAAGATTGATTAGCAACGCTCTGCCATTTTCCAGTGTCATCGCAGCCGTGGAGAAACCAGCGAGAAATATATCGACAAAGAGGCCCACCCGATATACATGGTGCACAACGGACATTGGGGGGAGGGGGGTCTTACTTTGGTGGGGAGTTCTTAGCGAACTCAATGCCCTTCTCGATGTTGCCCTGGAGTCCCTTGATGCAAGCCTCGAGGAGCTTCTTCTCCTGCTCAGTCACGCCGTCAAGGATGTTAATGGCCTTCTCAGCACCGTTGGGCTAGATCGAGCATTGTCAGTTAGTTGTTTTAGCACACTGGAAAAATTGAAGACTTACACCGAGTTCCACGGGAGTGGAGAAGAAGTCAAGACCGGTGGCTTTAGCAATCTCATCACCGCCAGCAACACCGGGCAGGTAGACGAAAGTAGGCTCAACAATGCCCTTCTCGCCCTTGGAAGCCTTGATGATAGCCTCGGCGAATCTAGTATTTGTCAGTCACCGTGGTAGCTCCGGGTTAGCAGGTGAAACATACCTGAAACCGGCAAAGGCCATAGACAGAGTAGCGGAACCAGCGCCATCCTTGGCCTTGACGACCTCGTCACCTCCGAATTGGACACCTGTGAAATATCAGTAAACGCCTCCCACGGAAAGGACTGTTCACATACGGGTAACAAGAGCATCGTATCGGTCAGCAGGGATCTGGAAGCTGGGGGAAACCTTGCTGAACAGAGGAACAATGGTCTCGCCAGAGTGGCCACCAATAACGGGAACGGTGGCATCAGAGGCATTCCTCACGCCGGAGAACTCCTGAGTGAAGGTCTCGGCACGGACAACGTCCAGGGTGGTCACACCGAACAGACGCTTGGGGTCGAAGACACCGGCAGCCTTGAGGACCTCGGCGGCGATGGGGACTGTGGAGTTCACAGGGTTGGAGATAACGAGGATGAAAGCCTTGGGGGCAAACTCGGCGATGCTCTCGACGAGACCCTTCACAATTCCGGCATTGACCTTGAAAAGATCATCACGGGTCATACCAGGCTTGCCTAGATGTTACCATATACGTTAGCAAAAACACCACATCCCGATCTGTGGATAATCTACTAACGGGGAATGCCGGCGGGGATGACAACGACGTCAGCACCGGTCAGAGCAAGCTTCAATCCATCATCCTTGGGGAGGTAGCCAGTGATTTTCTAGTCAATTTGTTAACGGGTTTATTCATGATGCTTCAGGAGTATATATATACGTACGGCGACCGAGGAGATGTGAGAGAGATCGGCAGCCACACCGGGGGTGTTGACAACGTCATAGAGGGCCAGGTCATCAACGAGAGGGGAAGCCTTCAGCAAGAGGGAGAGAGGCTAGAGGGTCGATTAGCTGAGGTTCATAAGATACCCTAGGAAGGATGAATGAGGTGGGGGGACATACCTGGCCAATGCCACCAGCAGCTCCGAGAACAACTAATAACGAATCAGCAAATGATAGACAAAACGGCCGAATAACATACCAGCCTTGACCATGATGAATTAAATGTGTGTATTTGTAGAGAAAGAGAGGATGAGAGGAAGAAGACAGGAGAGAAATGGGGAAGAGAGAAGCTTGGAGAGGGGACCGGCCGATTTATAAGAGGGGCAAGTGCTGAGAGGGGCAACCCCGGAATACTGGAAGTGTTGATGTTCGGAGTTCCTAACATGTGAAGTGATGAGGTGACGATATGCACCTTTATTCGACTTTATTTGCCTTTCGACTTGATTTTTCTCGCTTTGACTATCTTCTACTATTATTGACTGTGTGAGATCTAGTCCTCCAATCCCCCATGCCGTCTCATCGCTCTATCAAGAATGGCCAAGGTAAAAAGCTATAGACCTTTCTCCAGACTCTCCGGCAATTCTCGTCCCTTGACCTGGATTGTTCCACACTTCCCCGGGGCTACCGGGTTGTTATATCGGGAAAAGGCGGACTATAATTCTCATCTACAACCGGACATTGTGGCTCGGCCCGACCAGTCGGTTGTGAATCAATTTTACTTCTACCCTTGGCTAGTTTCTCTTCCGTTCCGATTAGCAGTAGGAATTGTTCTTTCTGGGGGGGGGGGAAGATGTTCTCTCTTGCTTTAGAAGGTCTCAGATAGGACACAGATTTTTTTTTCCTGCCCTCGGAGCAAGACTGCTAGATTACATAGTTTCCAAGTTCAGCATGGCGTTTTACATACGCCTGTCAAGTCTCCTTCCCAGATCTCAGATCCTTCATGGTCCACAATTCAGCCTTATCTCGAGACAAACTTACTCAGACTCCTCGGCCTTGCGGGCCTTGGAGCCACGGGGCTTCTGGGCAGGAGCATCCTTCTTGGGGAGCTGCGAGCGGCGGACGGCGCTCACACGGGCGACGGCCTCCTCGCGAAGATCGGCACGGTAGTTGTTCTTAGCGGTTCTGTCGGCAACACCCTTGTAGATCCTGTAGAGCAGATAATGATCAGCACTGGATCGTGAAAAACAACATACACCATGTCTTGAAAAACAAGGGAATGAAAAATAGGAGTCGCTTACTTGCGGTTGGCGGTGCTGGGACCGTAGGTGACAGTGACCAGGTTCTGAGCGGGCTGCTGGGGGTTGCTGGGCTTCTTGGTGATCACGGCGACACCGTTCTCAGTGGGCTGGACACCGACGGCCTGAAGGTAATATAGTTAGCGCCACAAATCTATCTTATACATATAGTATATATATATAACAGGGACAACACAAGCAGTGTAGAACTTAATTACCTTGGTGTTGGAATAACCGGCATACTATAGAGCGCCAAAAGAGACCGTCGTTAGCCATGCATTCCCGGAGAGAAATATCCATTCCGTCTAATCCCCGAGGCCCGTACCTTGTAGGAGTGCTTGTTCAGCAGGTTCAGGGGGTCCCGGGAGAACTGGGAGCCACCGCCGGAGTTGCGGTTAACCAGGAAGGAGTTCTGGTTGCCTATTCCAAAGATTGATGAGCTAGAGTTCGGTTTCCAAAAGCTTTGACATGAAAATTCGAAATAGAAGGTTGCGGAGGGTTGGACATACGGGTGATCTCCCAGATCAGGTCGTTGGAGATGTTTGAGGACATTGTGATGAGAGGGGATATTGAGTTAGAGAATTGAAAGATCGAAATCGCTATCAAAACCGTCTTCACGTCGATCAAATTGTGTGTGTCTTGAATGCCAAGACCTCAGATTGGACGGAGTCTCGCTAAGGCGGCTACTTTAGGAATAGGCTGAGTGCCTTGGTGCCTGATGTCTTGGTGCCTGATGTCTTGGTGCCTGATGTCTTGGTGCCTGATGCCTTGATAGTTAGTTAACTAGTTAACTAACTAACTACCTGAATACCGCTGCCTGTCAAACAAGGCAGAACTGACAACTTCCGGCGACCTGCCAATAATATGAACGCGATGCTGACGTTGCCCCCTCCAAACTCTACTTTCTAGTGATTTCCTATGCCTTCTTCATCGACGGCTTATTGCCTGATGGGACACATCATCTTTTAGTCCTTCTTTGGCGAAGAACTCTCGAGAGGCGCCAATTTCTCCTTACACCGCAATATACTACTACTCCGTACACGCCCGAATCTTCACCGGTATCACTCATCATCATGACCTACATTCTCTTTTATTTCCTACTCTTTTCGGTTATCATCAGCGGGACAGGTAGGTCAAGTGTCTTTCCAACCTGGAAGGAAACAAAGCAATCATTCTCAACGGACGTGGTTCTAATTACACTGTAGCCTTATACCTTACTCGGTCACGATGGATGCCGTTAATCCAAGTGCCTGATTATCTCTATCACCGCCTTCCTTCAAGTTTTACCGCCGATCTCGAGGCCGGTCTGAGCTCGTCGCAATTCGACATTACTGCCAATCTTGCAGACGGGGATTCGAGGGCTGGCTTGGATCAACGAGCAAAGAAAGAAGTGATCAAGATTATGAAGAGTCAGAAGGTCGATTTTGATGAAGCACGGCGCATCTACACAGAGCAACGATTTGCAAAGAATAACATCGGACCGGACGGCCGGCCAAGGGACCCCAAATTCGTCTCATTTTCGTGATTTGCCTTCAACCATATCACCAGTCCTAGCGTGTTTTGTGGCCATTGTCAGAGCGGATCTCTCGCTAGCAGAATCCGTACAAATAGAGGTCCCAGCTTTTGACCGGTAATATCTCATCTGTGCTGTCAGAGCGCTAGGGGTAATTATTTTATCACTTGAGCGGGTGGATCTCTTGTGTCTGAAATGATCCTTGGCAATTTAAACCTATTAAGTTGACGTATTATCAAAATCAAATACAACACGTCTGTCTGTTTCGTCCGTGTCTAAGACACTTAATATTACATATGGCCATTCAGCACTGCCAATAGCCAGCCAACGCCAAGGCACATTTCGATCCACCTCCTCGCACCCGCATAAACATGTTCAAGGTAGTCAAGCAGGAGAAGAACATCAAACACATGGATCACGCTTTGGTCCTTGGGTCGGGAATAGCTTTGGGGAGGAAAGGCGCTCTCAAGACTAAAGACCACTAGGAATCACCGACTGCCTGCATATCCGGGCTGTTGGAAGCCCGGTGGCAATGAAGGGGCCCCCGCTGGAGGTACAAATCCAGGTGGTCCAAACCCAGGGGGGCTGCAGCTTGTGGGACGAAGGGCGGTTGACCTGCACCATTGAATCCAGGTGGTAGAAACGTCTGTGGACCACCGTAGCCAGCTTGGGAAGGCGGAGGTCGAGCTGGGAGCCCGGGAGGTGGGGTATTGATTGAAGGGACGGGAGGTGGAACATGTCGGTTTGGAGGGGGGACGGTCTGATATGGCATTGGAGGGGGTGCACTCTGGTAGGGCATAGCTGGCGGGATACCCCGGTTCATTCCTAGATCGGGTGTTTGTGACTGAGCCGTAATCAATGGGCGAGAGCTATCGCCGTTCGACATGGCAGGTGTTGCTGATACGCCCGGCGCAGCGCCAGGGAACTGCGAAGGTTGTTGAGGTTGTTGAGTCGGTGGCTGTACGTTGTGTTTGCGAGCCTGGGCTGCGAGCATTCGCTCCGCTTCATCCCCATGTCTCTCGCCTTTCCCATCTTTCTTGTACGCATACTGTACCGAAACCTGTTTGTTCATCAGGTACTGGCCATTCATGTTGGAGATGGCCGCGTCCGAGGATTCGAAATCGGCAAAAGAAACAAATCCGTATCCCTTAGAGAGATTGTTGTCATCACGAGCAATCTGTAAAGTAATATGAAAAAGAGACTGTTAAAAATGTCTATCTTGTCCGTATTGGGGGAGATCTCACTTTAGGCGGATTGACAAGATTGCCAAACCGGCTGAACGTATCAAACAGAACCTGCTCGGCAACCATAGGATCCAGGTTACCCACAAACAGCTCTGCGCCGATTTCCACGGTCTTTTGTTTATCGGCCGACGCTTTGTTAACGCGAATAGGCTTGCTATGGAGACGGATTCCATTCATGATCTTCGATGCATATTCGGCATCTTCCTCGCTGATGAACTCAACGAATCCATACCCCTGGTGTAGCTGCGTGACCCGGTCTTTGGGCAGGTGGACGTTGACGATGCGCCCAACCTGCAGCATCAGCTCCCATACAAGGCTGTCCGAAACCCGTTCATCAAGGTTACCGATGTACACAGTTGCCTCTTTATCTTGTTCCCTAGGGTAAGTTAGCATCAGGTCCCTGTGGGGAGGAAAGAAGTTCTTACCAATGTCTTGCGTTAGACATGGCGCCGGTGAATTAGTTGGAGGGAGAGGGGAGAAAAAAGCTCCCCCTAAAGGAAAAGGACTCAAAGATCTGAGAAAAAGCAATAGGTTGTGAAAATCCTAGCGAAACCTGGACCAACAAAGTAGACTAATTTGAGTGGTGGTAGAGAGGTAATGAGGTGTGAAAGAAAGTGTTGAAGTGAAGGAAACCCGGAGTTGAGGGATGATCAGTGACCTTTCCGAAACTTTTTGATTCCGCAAATCCTCCCTGTTTTCCACTTCATCTATCAACCACATCTCCTACTTGTTCACTTGAATCGATCGTGAACCAGTTTCAATTTATTCGTGTTGATCTCCTTGAAACCTTCCCAAAATCTACTTTCATAAATTCACAATGGTTCAATTCTCCGAGGAGACCAAGGTTAGTTACAACCCCGATCCTCCTTGAGACCGGGTTTCTAACTCTCGCTTTTTGATCTATTTAGGAGCGCATCTCGAAGGTCATTGATATTTCTCGGGTCGCAATTCACTAGTGAGCCTTATAGCACACCTCCACGCCATCCTCCGAGCTGACCGGCGATAACCATCTAGCGGATACTTGCCTCTGATTGTCTATCTGGGTATGTATATATGCCTTTGGTATTCTCAACACAATAAGTTAACAAAACAACAAAAACAGGCTACACCTATAGCGAGCCCAAGCCGACATTGTTCAGGTACGCTTCAACTCCTTGAATTCCAGCTGTCATGACTAACTTGATACCTAGATTGTTCTCGCCTCTTGCGTAAACTGCACGTTGAGGATACGCGGATCGGATGGATATGGCGCAGTATATTGTTGGATGACCTTTCAACTATCCCCTCCGGGAGGGATGGTAGGTTCGAATATCTGGATAATCACTGTTTGCAGCTTGTGAAAGCTATATGATTTTTGTATTTTTAAGTCTCTGGCCGAATATTGTCCGTTTTGGTACAGAAATGCTGTGTGATCTGCGATAATTTCGGAGTAAACAACTGAGCTTTGTATAAATAAGAAGAAAAACTGGAGGTCTGGAGATTAATGTGTGGCATATCTTACTATACGCTCCAGTGCTAAGATCTACGGAGTTACTCGGCAGTCACATGTTCTGACATTATTATTCTTAGAATATTCTCCATCTCGTCTTCTCCCTCTATCTTCCCCCTCCTCTAACATTGTTCTCCACACACTCTCTTCCTCTCGTCTCTGTCTCTGTCTCTGTGTGTTCGATTTTCCTAGCTTCGTCTAAGGCAGGTTCATGACTAGTCAAGATGGCCTCTCGTCATCCTTTGTGGAGCCCGTAGCAGGATTCACAGCGGGAATCGTGTCAACTCTATCGCTACATCCTCTTGACATGGTCAAAACAAGGCTACAAGGCAAGCTTCGATATTATCTTGGCGCTGCTTGGGGTATAGAATAACTAACTCCGTCTTGGTATATATAGTCGATCGATCATCTTCCGGGTTTGGGACTTCACTGCAGGTCATTCGCAAGATATTCTATCATGAGGGTGGCTGTGCCGCTTTCTACCGAGGACTTACCCCCAATCTTATCGGAAATTCCACAAGCTGGGGTTTGTACTTCTTATGCTACAGCAGCTTGAAGGATACTATTCGAATATATCGCAAGGAGAGCGAGCAGATTCTCACGTCGTCTGATTATCTTCTCGCGTCTGGAAGTGCAGGTATGCACATGTCATATCTAATTCAGCATCGTTCCTCCGTTCCCCAATTAATCTTTGGATCTCCATAGGCGTTATTACGTCGGTCCTCACCAATCCAATCTGGGTGATCAAAACTCGCATGTTGTCAACGGGTTCCCATGCTCCAGGGGCATATTCTTCGTTTGCATCTGGAGCAAAACAAATATACCAATTGGAAGGAATACCCGGCTTCTACCGAGGTCTCGTACCAGCCCTATTTGGCGTCAGCCATGGTGCCCTTCAGTTTATGGCATACGAGCAGTTGAAACTTTTCAGGTTGCGGTCGATGAATAACATGGGCTCAATTGAGAGCAGTCGCTTGGGCGCCGAACGGGTGCTGGGTAATGTTGATTTTTTTGCCATCTCCGGTCTATCAAAAGTCTTCGCTGGCAGTGTGACATATCCTTACCAAGTAATTAGGTCCCGGTTGCAAACTTACGAGGCCCATCTGATTTACCGTGGGGCGATTGATGTCATTTCCCAGATATGGGCCCAAGAAGGGATCGCAGGCTTCTATAAAGGTCTTGGTCCAAATCTGTTCCGGGTACTTCCCAGCACGTGGGTGACCTTCCTGGTATACGAGAATACCAAGGTCTACCTATCCCAGCTGGCGCAAAATCCATGAAATACTTCCTGCTAATTCCTGCCCATTCTTATATCAATTGATCCTACTGGAGCCTTGGATCAGATTAGCAACGTCCTGTATATTCATCAATTTAGAACATTTTCGGCTGCCATATGCCGATCTCTAATCTTTTCACGATCTTAGCCGAAAGTC